CTTCTGTCATCAGAGCTATTAAGTTGTTCTGGTTTTTGAAAACCTCTTAGTTATAGCATATTGCATGATGAAGCCTATACAAAAACTTACCTTAAAAGAAAACTAGCAAGGTTACAAAATGAAGCTTTCCAAAGTCATCAGAAAATGCTGAACTTCAAGGCACCTTTGCAATAAACCAGTGTCAGAGCTGCATTGATTCACAGTCACTATGCACCCTCACTGTGCTCATACCACACTGCTGCCATATAATAGAAAAAAAATAATTAAATGTATCCCAGAAGTGGTTTTACACATAATTCTGCTTTGCTTGGGGACAGGGGAGGAATCAAAGAGCCAAAATGCAAGAGGTTTTCTTAGGAGATATATCAGATTGGACACTCGGCTTCTGTGTTGCAGGGAAGGATAAAAAAACCACAAAGACTAGGTGAAAGAAAAAATATTAACCCCCTTTTTTCTTGTAGGAGTCTCCACAAGAATGGAAAAATGTAAATCAAGGCCATTAGTTAACAGTAGGAAAGTCAAAACAAACTCAGAGTTGTTATGTGGGCCCATGATATTATGGGATAACCAAATTTCATTGGCTGTTTTTCTTGACAAATGTATCCTGCAGAGTGTCAAATGCACCAGTGTGGGCATACACTTCTGAAAAAAAACAACAACAACAAAATCACTTTACTGTCATTTGGATGTTCGTATCTTCAATTTTTATAGCACTGTATCAGAGTGTCATATTAATACAGTTCAAGAAAAGGTGTACTGGTGTATTGAGTGTCCATGTATAACTTCATTTTCAGATCCCATTAACTTGTTTATCATTGGGTGTTAAATGGAGATAGGAAAAGAGAAACCTAATTTCCTGCAGCTCATTTTAGGAATGGCAAATGACGTCATCATTACTGTATTTCTTTCTGTCTTTGTCAATAAGATTGAGCTACATACTTTATTGTATTTTATCTTTTTTCTGTCATGTTTATTTTTTTTCTGCGTGTTTCACAGCAGAGAGTGCTAGTGAAGCTATTTCCTGGGAGACATCTGAGGTTATTGGTTTGGACATTAAACACCATCTTTAACTGTTTGTGATTAAAACCAGGTGTAAGTGAAGCTATCTATGAATAAAATGTTCCTCTGGTAATACGGACAAAAATGTCTGTACTGCAGTCAATCTCTTTCAGCTAAATTCATTCAGTTTGTATTAAATGTAGTATTGCTGTGGATACTTATCAACAAATATTTTGAGACAACGTTTTCATTGTGAGCATCAACAAAATGAGTTGTATGGGTAAACTCTGAGCCAAATTTTCTGACGGTCAAATTGGAAGAATTCTGTGACTTGGCTGTTTTTTTTTTTTTTTCTGAAACATTTTGTTTCAGAAAACTCAGTTTGTTCAAGCACACTATTTTGTCAGGAGAAATTATATATATATTTTAAAAGATAATAGTTTGTTTGACTTACTCTGAAATGTAAGATAATTGTATTCATGCACATGCAGACATACATGCATAGTGTGATGTAAACTGGAAAACAGACCATTTAGATTAACTCAGTCTGAAATATTTTTTGTAACTTTCAGTTAATAAAACATTCAGGATTGCTACTTTTTCCTCTTATAAACCTTCAGTGTTCTTTCAAGATAGGAAAACAATTGTATACATTACATAGCTTTTATGTAAAAAAATATAATTTATTTAGTGCTTGGTGCTATGCCAAATTTGATGACATGTATTAGCTAATTATTTTAATCAGTTGGTCAATGAGATTTCATAATTGTAGCTGTATATACATTTTAGATTAATGACTGCCATAATGACTTAGAGCTGTTATTATGTGAAGAACTTAGAAATGACAGATCTGACAAGTATTTACCACGGTTCCAATACATTGCTTCCCAGTTGTTTGGAGGCTGGTTTACAGGTATTATCTCATTGTGAACATGTAATGCTCTTTATTCAAGGAATGGGTCTGCTCAATTTGTTCTATCTATCTATCTATCTGTATGTATGTATGTATGTATATATATAAAAATATACCGAGCATATTAGTGTAACTCATTTATTGTAGCTATACACAAGAAAACCTATTTATTTTTTTAACGTCCATGTTGTTTTTGTCTGTATGTAACTCACATACCAAGCAGTTTTGTCAATACTTTGTTAAAAATCTTAGGAAATCATATTTGAATGGCCCATACAGAAGTGCCATCATCTGCTTCTAACTGTGCAGTGAAACTGATAATTAAAATTAACAAGTGATTTTCATATTTCCTGTATACATACACTGTAAAAAAGACATTTCTAAGTCCCACTGTCATATATATTATTTTGACCTCTGCGAAGAATCCTCACAAAACTTTCAGCTTCTAAGGAATCATCATCAAAAACATATTTTGTAAGTTCAAACTTAGTCCTTTGAAGCTTTACTCACATAGGCAGCTCTGTCAAAGCTAAAGAAAGCATTCAGATGATTCAGGTTGTGAGGGACCAGGACTCAAGAAGGTAGTGTTTTGGGATACTCAGAAGAATAAATATATATAGTAAGGTGAAAAACATTCTAAAACCAGAGGCAGCCTCACAGTCATCTAGAATCTGTTCTATAAAGTGACACTGATGATCAACAGGCTCAAAAGCTAAAAAAGCCCTCCTGTATTTATATAGCACTGTAATGTATTTTAGCTTCATAATAACATGAGGCACAAACTAATGAGCACATTGACTCATACGATTGAAATCTGAGACAGTGTTATAACTTTGTTACAATGTCAGATTAGATGTTACAAAATACTCCTTCAGTGGTAGACAGTTGCAGCTGTGAGTTTTCATTCCTTTTGAAAATTATGTGCAGGTGATGGGTACTTAGAAATTAAGGAGTAAAACAGAGACTCTGAAAAAACAAAGTCTGAGAAATTTGCCAATCATCCTGTAGGAAACAGGCAGCAGAATTAGGATTTTCAAGATGTAAGTTTTCAAAGTCTAGGGGAGCATCATAACAAGAAAGAAATTTCTCTTCTCCATTATTCTGTTCTAGCGACTTTTGTTTTTCACTTCCTGTACAGTATAATAGGCCCATTTTGTCACTGTGGTCGGTAGCACTCCCTGTTTGTTACACACCACGGGATTTTGATCTATTATTTTAGCCATGGCAGATAATAATCTAGGCCATGTCTGTACAAGAAAATGTTGAACTGGTTTCTAAAGAATGATTATAAGCCAGATGCACTTAAAACAGTTTGCCACCTCCTTAAGTTGTTTTTGTAATTTACAAAATTCAGCTCAACTGATTGAAGAGATGATAAAGTCAATTTAAGTCACCCAGTTTAGGGAGCTGCACCTGCAAATTTACCTCTAGACAAGGTCTTGCCTAGTAAGTAGGAGGATCAATGGCAGGTTAATGCAATTGGCAATGTAAGAGGCTGGAAAAAACAGACATTATTTCTGCGTGCTATTTTGTAAACTATTCAGGCAGGAAATTTTTCTTTGTAGATATCTCTAAAGTGACAGCTAACACTCTACTAAAATTAATACTAATAATATAGATAATGATGTGCTAAATTGTTTTCAATATAGTTATTCCAATTTTACAGGAGTGTAGTATTGAACTGAATTTACTCCATTAAGACAAATACAGCTAACTATAGCAGTGGGCCACTTTGTGCCTTGAGCTGTATGTGTTCATTCTGATGGGAACCGCATGCCTGTAACTGAAAGAGAGATAAAACGAGGCAGATACGGAAAGAGGAGAATGTATTGCTTTGTTTAAATTTACAGTTCACATAGTACTTGTTTTCCTTGGCATGCATTATTTGCTATATAATCTAATAAATAAATAAAGGCACTGATTGTTTGAAGCATGCTGAGTGATGACTTGAACTAGCAAGTATGCCTTGATGGAAAACTCTTACTTAGAGAAACAGAACTTTTATTCATCAGTGTAGGATCAAATTCTTTGCTGTGGATGAAGGGTTTGATTCTTCTCTGTCGTACATGATACAAGGAAAAATCAGATTCATGCAAAGCAGTAGAGCAATTTGTTCATTGACTGTGTTTTGATTTTTCTACATGTTGGCCCATTTATATTTTTAATACAGTACATTAAAATAACAGGGAGGAAAATGCAGTATTTTTTTTTTTTTCCCTTGGCTATTTGCTCTATGTTTTCTGTCCAGCAGTCAGTGTAAAAAGAGGAGTGGCTCTAGAGGTGCAGTGTCACAGCTGTACCAAGAATTTTTTTCTGTTGATATGAAGAGGCAGAGCAGCAAGTACAGTATTAGTTTCTGCAGTGTTGCTGAATGAACTGTAGAAAGGGGTTTGCAGTGTAGAATACATATCCTCCTGAAACTTATTCCCCCTCACAGCATGTGCCTCTGCTTTCAGCAAGAGCGAGTTATGCTATATTAGCAATAAAGGGAAAAGAAGAGCCAGATTTTTAAATGTGCTTAGGCAGCTGAAGAGGTAGGTAGATGACTAATAGGATTTAGGATCCAAGCCTGGGAAATCTAAGTATCTTTGTAAGTCTCACATAAAGTTCTTGCAGAAAACCTTCAATTTCCCTACTCTGCCTAACCAGTGATAACCTACCATCATGCCATTATTTTAATTAGCAAATTCTCATGCCCTGGGAGGACTGGTTTGACAGGTTTTTCTGATGATTCCAAAGGTGTTTCTGTTTTCCACATAAATTACCCCCTATTCTATAGACAAAAAATATTGCTGTGAGGAGGCGGACCTCTCCTGTAGATAGCACGGGATTATTTCTGCAAGCGTTGCCCTACCAGTGACATACATCCCTTCACAGGCAAGTTACGCTTCGCGCCACGAATTAACGGGCTGCTCAGGAGGTGGAAAGCCAGTCCAGATGTCCCTCCAAGCCACCTAGCTCCTTACGGGGAATGAAACCCGAGCCCCAATTCCCCCGCCACTGTCACCCTATTTAGCAGCTGTTTCCGTCACTTCTGCCCGGGGCCCGTTCCGCCGCCGTTACAGCCCAACGCGCGGTGCCCGCCGAGTGCTGAGGCGCGGCAGCGGGGCGTGTGGCGCCCGGACCATCGCTGGGGGCCGGGCACGGCAGCGGGGCCGCCGCGGCCTGGGGACGCGGACCCCCGCCCGGCGCCACCCCCCTGCCCCCGCCTGCGCCGCGGGACGGGCCTGCCCGGAGGGCCTCGGGGGGCGGGCGAAGCGGCAGCCGAACGCGGCGGCGCTCGCCTCGGCCGCAGGTGGCAGCGGGAGCCCCGCGCTGCCGCCGCCCCCGCCCGCGGCCCGGCCGCGCTTCCGCCCGCGTCAGCTGACGGCTGCGAGGAAGAGGCCCCGGCCCGGCCCGGCCCCGAGCCCGCGGAAGCCCCGGCGCGGTCGCCCCCGCAGCCATGGCAGGGGTGGTGGTGAGCGGAGCCCAAGTAAGTGTCCGCGGCCCGCAGGGAGACGGCGGCCCCACCTGCCGGGGGCAGCCCGCCCCGGCCGGCGCGTCCCCGCCCCCAGCACTGCTGGCGGCTGCCTGAGCTCCACGCCGGCTCCTCGCCGCTCGGCCCGAGCGCTCGCTCGGTGGGGCCGGGGCTCCCGCGGGGGTGTGGGGGGTGGGCAGCGGGCTCGCACGGGGCTAGGGCGTTTTAGTTTCCAGCCGCACGTCGGCACCGCGCCGCGGGACGCTGCTCCAGGTATCGGCCCTCCCGCAAACGCGCTGCTCCAAGGCCGCTGCCGGGGAAGAGCCCCGGAGCGCCCCTGCCCCTCCCGCTGCCCCTGCCCCCGCAGCGGCGGCCGGGGGAAGGCGGGGCGGCCCCGGCGGTGTGCTCGGGGCCGTGCGGGCGGGGGTTGTGCGTGTGTGCCCTGGCGCTGCTCTCCTCGGACAGGTAGCGCGGCGCCGGGCTGACCCGCGGCGGGGGATTGTTGCTCGGAGGCCAGAGGCGCGCCCGGGGCTGAGCCGCGGGGCGGGCGGGGTGGCTGCAGCCGTTCGCTCCCGTGCGAGCCCTGCGGCTGGCCGGGCGGGCCGAGGAGCGCGGCGTGCTCCAGAGCGGCCTCCGGTTCCTCTTGGGCCCTGCCGCTCCCGCGTTCGAGTGGGCTGCGGGAGTAAACCGAAGGGGAAGGACTGAAATATGCCAAGTGTTGTTCCTGCTGAAAGTAAACGCTATGTGTGTTTCATTTGGGTTAAAGAGAGAAGTTGGGAAGTAAAACATCCTACTGGCCTTTACCCTGTTCCTTATTTGGCTACTGAAAAATTTTCTGGCTAAGAATGGATGTCATTACTGCTGAACCTGTGACTAAAACTAGCAATTTTATTTTATTTTTTTTTTTTTTTTTCACACAAAAAGAATAAATGAAGCTTGTAATCTTTTTGGAAAGGGTTTGCCATTAAACCAGGGTGCTGCCCATCTAATTGCTTCTTTAATCTGGTTGCTATTTCTGTGTGGAATTCATGTAAATGTGTGTGTGTGTGATATGGAGGCAACTGGCTAATTTTGCAGCTGCTGCAGGAAACGGTTCATGTGGTCTCAATGGTGCACTATGGCACTGAGTAACATGCTGCCGTCTTCCCTTGAGCATGCCTTGAAACCCCTTCAAGTGAAGCATATTCTTAATTTGGCCATGTGCCTAACATACAGCCTTCTAACATCATAGAGTAAAATATAATGCTCAACTGACTGGAAATATTCTCCAGATGTAATTCCCTTCGGTGGAAGGGAATATGCAGTATCTAGAGTTCATACACGACCTGTTTGGTTACATTCTTTATTAAAGATGTTACTTTATGAGTTACTAAGATTACAATATCGTTGTGAAATGATTGCAGAGATTAAATGGTAATAGCCTCTGAAACTAGCAGAGTTTGGTGCAACTGCTATCGGCTGGTTAACTTAAGTGTTAAAAATTTTGTAAAAGCATATTTTTTTTCCCGAATTACATACAGTGTGTTGAAGAGTCTGCAAGAATGTCCAAGACATCCATATCCTATCTGATGCTGGACTCTGTGGGAAACTTTCTGAACATTTCAGTGGGATGTTGAGCAGAGCACCAGTAATAAGAATGATTGACTGTGACCAACCTGTATTAGATTTTAGTTGAAGAATTAAGCAATGGAAACATCCACATCCAGTTTTTAGTCCCACATGATACTCTGTGACTGGTATAGAAAAACCTAAGAAATCTCCTTTTACTGGTGTGTCTTGTACCCAGGGAGCTGAGGGTTTTGGGAGAAGTATGCTTGCTGTCATCTTTCAGTGATGACATCTTTGGATATGTACTTGAAAGCTCATTCTAATTTTGAGGGTATTTGAGATGGATGTAAAAGAAAGAATACTGAATTATGTACATTTTGTTGTTTTCTGGGTAAATGATTTTGAACTGAAAGAATGCAAATGAAGAAACGTTATTATTCAGTTGTCCAGAGTACTGAAGTGTTGTTTTATATCAGCATTGTTCAAGAATTAAAGAGCAGAAGAGTGGGGAAATAACTCTTGAAAGCTTATTCAAAAAGGCTTATCATGTATTGCATCGCTGGCAGTTACAGCTGTTACAGTACAGAGAGTTCTTGGGTATCCGAAGCACGTTCATGTACTTTGGGTATAGAGATCTGAAGCTGAATGCGCTTTGTATATTTTGTGGAAAAATAAATCTATTTGTTTTAAATTGAAAAAAGTGCTTGTACTGTGAGTGTGCTGAAATGGACTTTGTGGAAGTAAAATTCCTTTTACAAGGCCTCAGCATTAAAAGGTCGCGACAACCATATTTCATGTGCAAATATGCCTGTGAATAATACGTTTGTACCAGTTATGCAATTATATTTGTATATTATAAGAGTTCAAAGGCTGAAGCTTTGCCACATTTTATGCGTTTTGCCTCCTGTGTGCTCCAAATCACATTTGTATGAACTTTTTTCTTCAGCTTCTGTTCTTCTGGACCTAGAACGTTTATGGCCAGGTAAGTTTCTGAAGCAGTGGCGATGCAGGTCAGAGTCTCTTGCTCCTTTTCCACCACTCCTCCCTGGATGAAAAGCGAAGTGGTGGTCTGTGCTCCTGCTATGTTTGTAGTTGCTCAAGACGGTCTTGCACTCCTAGTGTTAATAGGCATCATACTTTAGACATTTCTATTTCAATGTGTTACATTGAAATAGGTGTTTTATCCAGAGTATTATTTTGCTGTTAATGTGATGTCTTTCCAAGGATTTGCAATCATTAGTTTAAAGAAATCTACCATTCAGTGAAGAATGAAACAATTCTTGTATGCATACCTGCATGTATGTTGCGTGTTGTAGTTTTCTTAGAGGAAGACTGGAGGAAAAAACCCAATGTATTTAATTCAATAAATTCTGCAAAATGGTTTCTATTTTGTTCAAACCATTAGGATGCCAACTACCCAAAACAGTTCCTTTCCCTTTTGTCCTTATGTTTGGTAAAGTAACGTGTATGTCTGGTAGCAGAATTTACTGCAAGAGCAGGTATGGTTTAACAAGGGAAAGAAGTTGTTAAACTGAGCTTCAAGCTACCGGTTTTCTGCTCGTAAAAATTATTTCACCGTTGTCAGCTTTATCTGTTGATGTTATTGAACAAAATGAATTAAATGGCATGCAATTTAGTATTATCAGATTGCAATAATTTTTAGTGTGTGAGAGACTGGGCTGACTTGTGAAAGTACGTACCCTCAGTCTGATCTGCAGAGCAGTCTCTATTTTAAAATAAAGTGAAATATTAACAGAACAAAGTTTGGCTGACTTTTTTGCATATTTTTCATCTAACATCTTTTAGACCAATGGGATATGGTCTTGAAATTGACTTTATATTAAATATTTAGATAAAAACAATACCTTATAGATAGTGGTCTAACAGTGTTGAAATTTACTTAACTAGCAAGTTACCATCTAAAGTTAACTAAGAATTCTTTAGAATGAAATCTGAAATAGTGTTTATACTGATATTTTGAACATTGGGAGGATGAGCAAATATAGATGTATAGAATTCATGACATTAGGTTTGGTAGGCTTTGTGGGGTTTCTTCGAAGAAATCAAACCAAAGACTTCTAAGACAATACAGCAGAGAGAATAGAGAATAGAAAAAGTTTAACTGTTTTATTGTTAGTGTTTTTCTGGAAATATTATCACTCACTTCATCCTGATTAAAAATGAAAAAAAAAAAGCTGAGTAGACTGTATTTTTTTGTTACTGCTAATTCTTCCTGTGTTTGTTAAAGTGGGTTAGGTGGGCTGGTATGAAAAAGAGGAAGGACACTCACAAGTCTTTTGGGTATAAGGAGAAGTGTGATCTGAACGTAGGTGTTGATGCCAGAAATCTTTAAGACTTACATAACTGTCTGAAAAAAGCTGCATGCTTGGTTTTTCAGATCTTGGGTAGTTCTTTTGCTCTGTCCCTAGCATATCAATGGGAACAATAATCTCCTCAAGGAATGGTTATGAGAATGGACTGGCAGTACACTGCTGAGGTATTTCTGGACCGAACTTTCCAAAGTGATCTTTTAGTGTGTTGTGTATTGAGAGGCAAACTAGAAAGTCCTTTGAATGGCTTCTGATCTTTCAAAAAATTTTCTTCTGGAGTGTAGCAGAAAGGTAATACAAAGTAATGTTAGATCTAAGTGTTAACAGTGGAATAGAAGTAATGCGATGTATTTGATCAAATTATTTTTACCTGAAAGGAGACAACACATTGTACATAAGACTATAGATGTAATAAATATTAAGCTGATTGTATCAATAGAAAAATGAAATTGTGATAGATTCTATAGCAGTAAAACTGATGTAGCTTAAAGCTATAATGAATATTTATGGTATTGTGTATTGTCATTGGATCAGTGAGACGCAATCTGGATAGGAAATTAAATAACCTGCTTATGAAAGTTTCCCTTTTTGCTTCCAATTCTCAGGTGTCCTACATTGGTCAAGACTGTGAAGAAATTCCAGAATTCCTAGGAGCAAAATATGGACATATGGCAAAAAGGCTAGACCTTAGCTTCAACTTGTTAAGGTATGTGACAGTGTATAGATTTTCAAGTGCAATATGGGACACCAACTCCAAAAGCAGAATATTTAATATTTTTTTTTTTCAAATGTCAGGTACATTTAGTTGTTATCAAGTGGACAGCACTCTTTTATAGGCAATGTTTTTCTCCTTTTATTGCACACTTGGAACATAAGTAATCAGGTGAGTCTGGAAATTTCTCATGTTAGCATAAATGATGCCCAGTGAGGAGTTTATGGTTTGTTCTCTGTTCAAAATGGAAAGTAAGCATTACCCAAAGAAATGAAGAATGAGATCAAAAGTGAATTGCTCTTAACGAAAATACATGTGTTTGCTTCTCTTCCTTCTTTTTCTGTGACCATAAATGGTTTGAAATACTTTTTCCCAGATGATGTGTTTTTGTTGTATGATTTTATTTTTGGGCAGCTGTGTAGTTAAGTGCTACAATTAGGTACAGTTAGAATTTCTAAATAAATTCTAATTATTTTAATATATGGATTGATTTCAAATTCTATAGTATTCCCATTAGTTATTACAGTATCCCTTTTCATTTAATCCTTGTGAAAGAGCCTGATGTGGCTCAGCATTGTACCTTTCAGGTTGGCAACTCTGTAGGTAAGGAGGGATAAAGGAATGGAGTGTGGCTGTCTGTTTAAGAAAAAGCATAGTTTTTCAGTGGCAGGGTTAGACTCTTGTGTGTTCCTTTTATTTTATTGAGGGTAGGCCTAGAGTCTGCTTGTGAGGAGTAAGACACGTAAAAGTAGTGTGCTGGTGCCTTGTTCTCCTAGGAGGAACAACCACTGGTTTTAACTTACTTAACACTCATAAATGTTATCCTGAGCCACTGTCAGATCTGAAAGACTGAGTCCTATATGCAAGAGGTAGCAGAGCAATGGAGGCACTAAACAATCTGTGGATTGTTATTGTCTTCTGGCTGATGACTCTGCACGTACAGAAATTGTAATCAGAAGAGAGAATTTTGCTGGGGGAGGGAATTGAACAGACATTTTTTGATTTTGCCATGAAGATAGTTCAAGTTCCACATGGGTATTAAGATTTAACATTATCGACAAGACTGCTCTTTCTTTATGCCTCTGGAGGTTCTATCTCTGGAGAAAAAAAAAAAAATTGTTTCTTTCATTTAATGCATGATTTGAAGAACATTAAATCTAGATGTAAAATACCACTGTAAAACTTCAAGTTACTAGTTCATGTTTTCACCGAGAGCTTAATTGTTGGTGTGTTTCTCAAATTTGTTTTCATCCCTTCTTTCCTTTGCTACCCAAAACATTATCAGTTAGCTTATTTTTCATAAGGGATATAATTTGGTTTTATTGGTGCTTGGGGAAAAAAAAAAAAAAGTGTGTTTAAAACCTTTTGTGAGGAAACATTGAGAGAAAGTGCTGGTTTTGGGGGTAGCTGCCATCAGCATTTGATGTAGGATAGCTTGCTGTTTTAAAGCTGCAAAAGCATTCTAAGGCCAGAAATCAGATCTGGGGAAAAGGGAGAGGTGTTTTTGTTTTGTGGCTTTTATTTTGTGGGGTTGGTGGGTTTTTTTGTTTGTTTTTTCTTTATTTTTAGCTTAGGGAAACTAATACTACATGTGATGAGAGCAGTAATGGTTTCTCATTTGAGCTGTGATAGATATACCAAGCATATAGAAACTAAGAATGAAGTATTATACAGTAGCTGTTCAGACTGATATGCACTCAGGTATGAACACTGTGCCTGCATATTATAGAGTTAGATAAGATGTAGAGTAAATGTCATAGCCTTAAATGAGTGTGAATATAGAAGAGATGTCTTGCACAGCTGTTGAAACAAGTGTAAACAGTAAGATCGTTGTCATCTTAAAACACATATTATTGCTTGACAAATCTGACAGTGCTGTAGTATAGTGATGAGTTTTATGATTTTTATCAGTTAGTGCTTAATTTGAAAAGTTTAGATTAGTATGTTGTTTTCAGTGGGGAAGAAACTCTAAACTTAATATCTCTTTAAAAAGGAGCTTGATTTTCTATAAAAACTTGCTATCTGTTGGTAAAGGCATAAGTCAAGTGACGAAGATCAAGGGTGATCAAAATCTAGGAAAAGATAAAGAGAACATTGTGCTTTGCTGGCACAATAGTTATTTGTAGTAAAGATGTTAGTCTTCATTGTAATATTGTGGATTGTTAGATGAGAATATGTGTGTGTGTTCTTTGAAAGAAAAAAATATTTCAGTGGTCACTAATTTTTTAGCTTGTATTTAAGCCAGAGAAATATTCAGCAGTTACCTGTTCTTAGTGTTAGGCTGTAAATAAGTACTTAGCAATCTTTTTTTAATGTTGTTTTGCATATAGGGTTTCTGTGTCCTGTCCTCTGTATGTATGGCTACTGCCATGTGTGTTTTGGGAAGGAATCATTGTCCTGTAGCAGGCAATAAATTCTGTTATGTAAAAGCATCAGTAGAATTTCTGACAACATAATAATTAGATTAAGAATTTAAGAAATCGAGGATAGATGGAAGATTTTTTGTTATTGGGTAGCAGTATTTGCAGTCGTTATCTGATATTGCTATATGGGTATAGTTGCATGGAGAGAAAGAGAGTTGCGTCTCTGTTGCTGTAACGTGTTCAGCTTTGTGGTGAGGTGGCAGCAAACTTTTCTTGCAAGACAGTGCTGTCCTTTCTGAACCAGAAAGTTGTGTGCAGTTGTAGACTTGCAGTCTTTACTGTGCGCACACACACGAGGCTCTTTATCAGAAAGATATATTTGTATATCATGATACAGATGTCAGAGGACTTTCTTATGCAGCTGATATAATGTAATACTTGATTGAACAATCACTTTAGTGAATCATACTGATTTTGATACTACTGTGATATAGATAAATTTGCAAAAGTCAGGATAGAGCCAGGTAAGTTATTTTGTCATTTAAGGCTTTCCATTGTAAATGTATGTTTTCAGAGGCAGGTATACTGGAAAATGGGAAAAGGTGGGAAGTCTGGCTAGTACTGTTGGTAAAGTGTGAAAGAATTAGTCAAACATGGTGTATTTTGTGACTTACATGCAGACAACTTTTGTCAAGCTTGTCTCTTAATAACATATTTCAAAAGATGCTGTTGTGTTATTCTGGGAAATATAGCTTGTTGTTTTGTACAAACCAAGGAGTTTCTCCCCTTTCAACCCCCCTTTTTTTAAAAAAACTTGTTGAGTTGATACATATTTGGATAATAATTTTTTAAGAAAATTAGGGATATCTTCTAATTAATTATTGGTTGTTATGGCACTTCTCATCTGTTTTTTTCTGCAAAGAAGAGTAATTATATGGGTTCAGTGTTCTTATGTGTGGTGGTTTTGTTATTCAGATTTCTCAGATTTTTTCTTTTTGGGTGTGATGTAAGCACATAAATGTACACAGGACTGGAGAACTAAATCAGGAGGGGGAGGTTGTCATTAGTTCTTTTGTATTGGCAATTTAATACAGAGGAAAAGGTATATTTTTTTCACTATTTTTTTCTGCCTTCAGAGTTCTTCCCAGTCTAGAGCACCTTCTTTACTAAATTAAAATTAGGGCCTGTGAAGATGCTTCCTTGTCTTTGCATCAGATGTGGTAAATCTAATAACAGTACTCGATTAAATAATGACAAAAAGTTGCTCTTTAAAAGAATTGTCTTTCTTGTTTGCCTTTTTCCAATAACTAGTGTTTCTTTTTGATTACCCTGAGTGATACATGGATCCAACTCTCTTTCTTCTGGCAGCCAAAGCAAAGTGACTGTTACCAGTCACAGTGGTTACGCATCTTCCTGGGAGGGAAAGGAAAGATAGAGGTGAATGGCAAAAGGAAACTTTATGGGGATGTTGGGGGAAAAAAGTGGAGTAACAGCAATTTGTTGTGTATGACTTAAAACTAGTGTGTACTTAAAAGCGTTCTAGTTGTAATGGGCAAGATACAGTGCCACTGAATTGCCTTCTCTTTACACCCCTGGTGGGCATAAATCCTTCAACCCCTGACCACTATAGTCCACTGATGAATTACTTCTTCTCATGCTGTTTTCCTCACAGATTTTTGTTTAAATAGTTTCTAATGTCTTCTGTTTCCTTTTGGGACTAACAGTGTGTTATGAAGAAGATGGAGCCAAACTCTTATTAGATGTACAGCAAAAGGGGGAGAGGCAGTCATTACAGGTTGCAGCAAGAGAATTTCCAACTGTTTGTCAAGAAAGGCTTTGCAACGAGAAAGGTTGAGTAGAGGAGGTGCCCAGAGGGGTTGTGGAGTCTCCATCCTGGGTGATATTCAAAGTGCAATTGGAAAAAGCCCCAAGCAACCTGATCTAACTGAAGTCACCCTGCTCTGAGCAGGGAATTGGACTAGATGACCTCTAGATGCCCCTTCCGACCTAAGTTATTCTATGATTCTGCAGCTTTATTGGTGTGATCATCATAAAATGGCCTGAGTTGTAGCAGCTCTTTTGATTTGATATTGATAATTATTTTCAACTGTTTTAGAAGTGAACTATTTACATAGTGTTTTTTCAGTAAGGCATGTTTCAGGAGAAGAGAGGTTTTGCTTTGGAAATCTGCTCCCGAGTGTCTGATGGCAACTGTATTTGATAACCTTCCCTGATAATAGAGTACTGTAAAGGCCACTATTTTGTTTCATAATATGTGGAAGGCATTCCCTGCTTCCCATTTAATGAAAGCTTGGAGTATGGAAAGGAAAGTCAGACGTGCCAGCGTTAATGTTACTGGGAGGCTTTGCTGAAAAGGATTTCAAGGGGGAATGAAAAATTACTGTTGATCACTGGAAGTTAAAGGTTTCATTTAAAAAAAAGGTAACTAATAATCAGTGGTGAAGGAAAGAAAGGAATAAATAAGTAGGAAGGAGCTAATGTAGGTAGGGAATAGAGATTTGGATGAAATACAATGATTTTTTTTGATGCACCTTGCTGTCTTGTGGAGAGAAAAAAACCTCCCAACTATTCAAAGGTTATTTGTCTTGGATAATTTTCTTTGTGTCAAAT